CGGATTCTCTCCTTTCGAATTGTTATTCGGAACGAGATTGAGGGGACCCCTTGACTTGATACGGGAACACTGGGAGGGAGAAGAGACCATTAGTGTCACCCCCATCATACCCTATGTGCTCGAGTTCAGAAAATGCCTGGAGATGCTGACCCAGACCGTCCGAGACAATCTCCAGGTAGCCCAGCAACGACAGCGCAGATGGTATGGTAGGGGAGCCAGGGACTGCAGCTTTCAGGTAGGGCAAAAAGTACTAATCCTACGACCAGTCCACAAAGATAAGCTGCAGGCTTCCTGGCAGGGCCCATACAAGGTGGTGGAACAGATCTGTGACACCACCTATGTGATCGGCCCGGTCACAGGCGCGGGAGGCAAACGCATGCTACATGTGAACATGCTCAAGCCATACCACGAGCGCACTGAGGAGGTGACCGCAATCTGTGGCCCTGCCACCGAGGATTTTGACAATCTACCCTTCCCAGATCTCCTAGACCAAGAGGGCCAGAGCGGAGATTTAAGAGAAGTACAGTTAGGAGAGCGAGAGCGAACCCAAGTGCAAATGATACTCCAGGAAAAGGGAGCCACGTTTTCCAATTTAGCCGGCTATACCCCATTAGCTACACACAAGGTAGAAACCTTAGATCAGACCCCTCTTCGCCAAACTCCATACCGCATACCCGAAGCAGTCAAAGAAAATATGCGCAAGGAAATTGAGGAAATGCTTCAGTTAGGAGTGATAGAGCACTCCGACAGCCCCTGGGGTAGTACTAGTGCCGAAATGGGACGGGACGACCCGTTTCTGTGTAGACTACCGGTGGCAAAACGACGAAACGACCTCAGACGCTTATCCCATGCCCCGGATAGACGAGCTCCTAGACAAAATGGCCAGGGGCCACGATAGATCTGTGCAAGGGTTACTGGCAAATTCCGTTAGCAGAAGACGCTATTCCCAAGTCGGCCTTTGTCACCCCGTTTGGCCTGTACCAGTTTAAGGTTATGCCATTCGGGATGAAAAATGCCACAGCTACCTTCCAGAGGATGGTAGACAGGTTATTGGATGGGTTCCAGGAGTATGCAAGCGCGTATCTGGATGATATCGCCATCTTCAGATGCTCCTGGCACGAACATCTGACCCACATAAGAGCCGTACTAGACCGGATCCGGGAAGCCGGACTGACCCTAAAACCCAGCAAATGCCATATAGGGATGGCAGAAGTTCAGTACCTAGGGCACAGGGTAGGAAGCGGACAGCAGAAACTGGAGCATGCTAAAATAGAGGCAGTCGCCCAATGACCAACCCCTCGCACCAAGACCCAAGTACTCGCCTTCTTATGGACCGCCGGGTACTACCGGAAATTTGTGGCCAACTACAGTGCCCTCGCCAAACCCCTCACTGATTTGACCCATAAGAATCTCCCTAAGCTAGTAGTTTGGGCCCCAGAGTGTGAACAGGCATTTCAACAGCTCAAGACGGCACTTGTTAACTCACCTGTACTTTATGCTCCTGATCCAACTAAACGTTTTCTCGTCCATACAGACACTTCTATGTTTGGATTGGGAGCAGTACTGAGCCAAGTCGGAGCGGATGGCGGCGAACATCCCGTGGCGAAAACTTTTACCCAGGGAAGTCAGCTACGCCGCCATCGAAAAAGAGTGCCTGGCTGTGGTGTGGGCCCTCAAAAAACTGCAGCCCTATTTATACGGACAACCATTTACATTACTCACGGATCACAACCCGTTGGTGTGGCTGAACAGGGTGCCAGGAGACAATGCCAGGCTGCTGCGCTGGAGTTTGGCGCTGCAGCCTTTTGACTTTACAATTCACTATCGCCCTGGGAAGCAAAATGGCAACGCCGACGGGTTGTCCCGACAAACAGACTTGGAACCGTGATCCGTGAGTGCTCCTCCGGACATCCCCAAGCCGATTCGTTGGGATCAGACTGTGTATGCCGGCTTGGTTCTGGGGGAGCATTGTGGCAAACCTAGCCACTTAAGACTATGCCTGTATTGCATGTGTGGATATCATGGGTTTTGTTTGCTGTAAGAACCAAGTGTAATGTGGTATGTGGCGTTCATGCGAACGAGAGCTTTCGTATGCTTGTAATGCGTAAAACCCAGCATTGCCTATGCAGTTTCACGAACAGTGAGTTTAAACACTGTTCGTGAAACGAATGAACTACCGAATGGTCGACCACACACAGGAGGTCGTGTGGCGCCCATTAACCGATTGCAACATTGGAAATGAGTTAAAGACTTTCCTAGGTGGCCGTCGTTCGGCTACCGACCACGCGGCGGTTGGCCATCTTGGTTCTTTTGTTAGCCCAGCGGGGTTTTGCCGTCGAGTGCCTGGAACTAAAAACGGCTACTCAACGGCGCGAACACCGCTGGACTTCCAGGCTGTTCGGGAGCCCCGGCCGTTCCTGTTACCCAGCGGAGATATTGTGGATTATACTACCTCTCCGTTACATTTACATTTTAGCCAGAATTCACACAGCCAGAATTCGCAAGACCCCGGAGAGTGACATCGGCGCTGGTGGTCCGGTGCAGCAGGTAAAGGTGACATTACGTACTTTAACCTTTCCCACACAGGCACCGCCATCTTTGTTGCGCTGCTCCACTTCAACTCCTCAAGCAATAAGCGCCCTTCAACATCCGGAGCCGCCGTTTCTCAGCACTACGGAGGGTCCTGCGAGGCGGCTGGATCCTCCATGGACACAGCCAGTTCCCTGCAGATGTCAGTGGTGATGGTTGTGGGGATTGACGCTTGCGCTCACATTTCAGGAAAGTCGCCCTGACTTTGTCTCAGTATATCTGCTGACTGGGTCTTAATGTCAGTGAAATTCTAACACAGTCAGTATGAGTATATTATAAGATTGTGTATTATAAGATTGTGTATTATAAGATTGTATATTATAAGATTGTGTATTATAAGAGTGTGTATTATAAGATTGTGTATTATAAGATTGTGTATTATAAGAGTGTATATTATAAGATTGTGTATTATAAGATTGTGTATTATAAGAGTGTGTATTATAAGATTGTATATTATAAGATTGTGTATTATAAGAGTGTGTATTATAAGATTGTGTATTATAAGATTGTGTATTATAAGAGTGTATATTATAAGATTGTGAATTTTTAGATTGTATATTATAAGATTGTGTATTATAAGAGTGTATATTATAAGATTGTATATTATAAGATTGTGTATTATAAGAGTGTATATTATAAGATTGTGTATTATAAGAGTGTGCATTATAAGACTGTATATTATAAGATTGTATATTATAAGATTGTGTATTATAAGAGTGTGTATTATAAGATTGTATATTATAAGATTGTGTATTATAAGAGTGTGTATTATAAGAGTGTATATTATAAGATTGTGTATTATAAGATTGTGTATTATAAGAGTGTATATTATAAGAGTATATATTATAAGATTGTGTATTATAAGAGTGTGTATTATAAGAGTGTATATTATTAGATTGTGTATTATTAGATTGTATTATTATAATTAGATAGTATATTTATTAATTAGATTGTATATTATAAGATTGTATATTATTAATTAGATTGTATTATTATTATTAGATTGTATATTATTAATTACATTGTATTATTATTATTAATTAGATAGTATATTTATTAATTGGATTGTATATTTATTAATTAGATTGTGTATCATTAGATTGTATTATTATTATTACATTGTATTATTATTAATTAGATTGTATTATTAGATTGTATATTATTATTATTAGATTGTATATTTATTAATTAGATTGTGTATTATTAGATTGTATTATTATTATTAGATAGTATATTATTATTATTAGATTGTATTATTATTAATTAGATAGTATATTTATTAATTAGATTGTATTATTATTATTAATAATGAGATAGTATTATTATTAATTAGATTGTATTATTATTATTAATTAGATAGTATTATTATTATTAATTAGATTGTGTATCATTAGATTGTATTATTATTATTACATTGTATTATTATTAATTAGATTGTATTATTAGATAGTATATTATTATTATTAGATTGTATTATTATTAATTAGATAGTATATTTATTAATTACAATACATACGAAGTAATAGGTGGAGCTGTGTAATGTCCTATATCTGTAAGACAGAATAAATGCAAATAGCGTAGAGAGTCTGCACAAATAATAATAGAAGTAGAAATAAAATCGTTGAACTCACAAGGTTGGAGTCATACCATCATATGACTCTAGCGGTATGTTCCTTTGGACCATTAAGGGGTTGTCCAGACCCTTCTATCGTTGGTTACTGGATACTCCTCTTTAGTGGTTCTTTGTGTGTCCCCCAAGGAATTCTCAGTATGTTGCTTATTCTTAAAATAGATATTTCTGTGTCAAGCTGCAGCAGCAAGTGATGTCATAGACCTGGTCATACTGAGAATTATTATTATTAATTAGATAGTATTATTATTATTAATTAGATAGTATATTATTATTATTAATTAGATAGTATTATTATTATTAATTAGATAGTATATTATTATTATTAATTAGATAGTATTATTATTATTAATTAGATAGTATATTATTATTATTAATTAGTCATGATTGAAGGTTTTAGGGGCACTGCTGGTTTAACACTGATTATTTCCCTTGGAGATGTTTCCATGCCAGCGGTGGGAATTCCTTGGATACAGGGCGATAGAAACTGGGTATCTGGCGGAATCTGCGGAATCTGCGCCATCCTTCGTGAATAGCTCTCACTGCGCTACGTGACTGCCGCTGGGGCTGCGGCGGTGTAAGGGTTACTGTGGGCCCCGCCCCTCTGAGCGCTGATTGGAGGAGCCGTGTGTGGGCGCGGCCTCCGTTGGGGACATTCTTGCTAGCCAGGGAAATGAGGGACTCGCTGATTGGAGGAGCCGTGTGTGGGCGTGGCCGGCCGCTGGTGACATTGTATTTCCCGGAGGAGGTGGGGGACTCGCTGCGGTGACTCACTGAGAACATGCTGGGAGTCGGACTGAGCAGGCTGGGACACGGGCTGCTGGGACCGGTCAGGGCGTACTGTGCCATGGCTTCTGCAGGGAAAGGACTCATCTTCAGACAGGTGAGTGACACTGGCAGACCTATCACCCTCAGCCAGCATGGCAGACCTATCACCCTCAGCCACAGCCAGCATGGCAGGCCTATCACCCTCAGCCACAGCCATCTTGGCAGACCTATCACCCTCAGCCAGCATGGCAGACCTATCACCCTCAGCCACAGCCATCTTGGCAGACCTATCACCCACAGCCAGCAAGGCAGATCTATCAGCCACAGCCATCATGGCAGGCCCACCACCCTCAGCCAGCCCACAGTGGAACTTGCAGGCCACAATACATTTACTTTAATCTGTTTATCTTCATGTTACAATGCTTAGAGACTCTCTTTATCCTGATGGGGTAGGGGTACATTATAATGTATTTGTGTGTATACAGACTCCCACTCCTATAATGCACAGCCACACAAAGACCCGATCTATAAGGGCCAACATATTGGCAGAGTTATTATTTTTTTATGTACAGACTGGGTAACCATTGATACTGATATAAGGTTATCACTGCCTTGTAATGGCTGGCTAGGAATGATGAGGGGCTGCAGTCCACACCAGATGCATTGGCTTCCCTGTCCTGCAATCCCTTAACACAGGCTTCCCCAAACTCCGTCCCTCCAGATGTTGCTGAACTACAACTCCCATGATTCTGTGAATGAAATAGATAGGCTGAGAATCATGGGAGTTGTAGCTAAGCAACATCTGGAGGGCCGGAGTTTGGAGAAGCCTGCCTTAACACCTCCAGGAGCCCCATCCATATATCCTTCTCCTGTTTAGTCCTCCATGATAGCGTCTGTATTGGGTCAAGTCTTTGATGAGCCAATCATGTCCTTGAAAGAAGGTGGCTCCCTAAAAATATTGTCTGTTGACTTCTATAGCTTTGGAAAAACATGGATATAGTGAGTGAACATTTGAATGTCACACAGATGGCAATCTGCAGATCATTGATAGTATTTGTGACAGCTAATGTTGTGCCTAGACATGATGGGAGTTGGGCTTCTGCAGGACCAGAAATCCTGTCTCTGCAAAATGTATGAACCATGCATCTGGGGCATTTAAAGAAGTTAACTTAATATGTCTGCGTATATTATTGTTTAAGATATTTAAAAATAAAAAAGTAAATTTATGCAAAAAATACAAACCTACTTCATGTTGTCACTGTACATGGGGACGTGTTATCCGGTCTGCCGCAGTCACCTTAACAACCTAAAGCTGTTTGAAGAGCTATTTCTGGGGCTTATTTACAAAAAGTAAGAATTGGGGAGAATTAAAAAGGTAGGCCAAAGTAACCAAGCAGTAATGATTACTGAGATAGACATTTGTTTTTCCTCCTATACAGCTACCTTGGCCTAAAACTCACAACTATTTTGACAAGAAAATAACCGTAACAGCCGAAGGGTTAGGTCCCAGCTGATTTAAAATCACAGCTCCTATGATGCTTTGTTGACCATAGCACCTGCAGAGCTTAATGGGAGTTGCAGTTTTGCGAGAGCCCTTAGTGTAGACTGTTACATCAGATCTCTGTTGGGTTTTTTTTTTTTAATTGTGAAAGCTTTTACGTTTGTGTGGTTTTGCAGAGGAAGTGAGGTAATAAGGGGGATATGAACGTAAAAATGTGGCAATATCCCGGTTATTCACTAAAGTGAGAATTAAAGAGACTTTAAAGTGAAATCAATCTGTATTTCAAATTTAAGGGCAAAATAGACAAACACGAAAAATTCTCTAAGTCATTTACGCTTAAATTCGGTTGCCTTGGCCTTCAATATGAAATTTACTTTGAATTCTCTGTAATTCTCACATTAATGTATAATGTTGTTTCCATGGAGCTGGACTGAGTGATCCTTTCCAGGATTTCCTTGTAGCTCCAGAGGGTACACATTCTCCAGCAGCTGATATCTTAACAGCTGGGGGGGGGGGAGACAAACTTCGCAGAGGATTTTGCGGAAGCATGAGTTATTTTACAACAACAAATCTATTGTGTCATCAGTTACAGGGATAAACTGGCATTACATGGCATTATTACACCCAGCGTATTGATCTTGAAACTTAATTAAAATCCTCATAGTAAAGGAGTTTAAGCATGCGTGGGATAGGCATAAGGCTATCCTGACTATAAGATAAGACCAGGGAGTAATGAAAGTATTTAGAAAATTGGGCAGACTAGATGGGCCGAATGGTTCTTATCTGCCGTCACATTCTATGTTTCTCATTGTTAACATTTTCAAATTTTATCTCAAATATGCCTGCAGCGCGCCAGTACAGAGCTGCTCACCGTGTGCTGGTCCTGTCAAGCTGTTGAGAAATGTATCCAATCCTTTGAGGCTTCCAAGATCAGAGATAGAAGTATCACTACGTAGAGTAACACTTGTTACATCATCATGCACGTTAAAAAATAAATAAAAAAAATCAGTCCTATCACTTAGGGGTTTTACATGTATTATTATTATTTTATTTTTATATATATATAATTTTTTTTTAAACCCCCCCCTTCCCACCCAGGATGTATTGAGATGGCTGGCAGGTGAGGCTGAAGATTTACCTGTAGTTCTTCCTTGAAGGTTCTGTTGTCTTCACTGCGCCAAACACGTTAGGAGCCACGTCGGTGTCATAGTCTACTCTAGCTCATGCCTGAGAGTACAACAGATGTTTATAGAGGGAAAACTACAGGCTCCTCTAGAATCCGTCATAGACCAAAACTTGTCAAGCTCCAGAAAATGCTGGTTTTACCCCTGGTAGCAACACTAATGGGAATGGACAAAATGTGACGGCGGACACACTGCCTTTTCTCAAGTTTTGGGAACTCCGGTTTTGTCTACTTTGTCCTATGATGTCTTTTTGATTGTATTGGAATTTAGTGGAATTCCAGCATATTAGGTATGACTAAATAAAGATTTATATTTGTCCTACAATGTTTTCCAAACACGATCTCATTTTGACTTTTACATTTATATCCGTAATCCGAGATAAGATTGATCAATAGTTGAATATCTTCTTTCCAATGTTATTTTTTTTTTTTTTTATATTTGAATTATTTCACTTTTCCATTAGATTGCCAGTTTCAGCAATATTGCAGTGTGGTACTGAAAAGGTTAATGACTGCTTTTCCATTATTTGCATTTAAAAAACACGATTAATTGCTGCTTTAAATTCAATTCAGATTTCTCTTTATACAGCTCCTCTCGACTGTGTGTTAAGTTGTGCGCATATTTAAAATTACCGTCACCTAACGCTTCGCTCTTTCCTGCAGTTGTTTGAACCAGTCAGTTGTACGTACACTTATCTTCTTGCCGATGAAAAGACTAAAGAGGCCGTTCTGATTGATCCAGTGCTGGAAAAGGCTGACCGAGATGCCAGGCTAATCAAAGATCTAGGTCTGAAAATGATCTATGCAGGTATGAGCCCTACCGAGCATTGACTTTAACTCTGTGACGCTGTATATGATAACCACAAAATACCCAAATCGGTTTTAATCAAATGCCATACATACCGCTCTTTGTCTGTTGTCCATCTCACAAACCTTTGCCAGCAAAATAATTTTTTTGGGGTGTCTGCTTTAAACTGTCGTTAGGTACACCCAAACCACTGTAAGAAGGTCAGAAATAGCTCAAGGAATATTGTACTGACCATCGTTGGTCCTCCACCATAGTCCACTATCCTGGCCAGTTTTAGAAGCTGAGCTGCTTTACAGGCGTAGAAAGACCTTGCAGTTAAAGGAGGAACGCTAAGTTACACAAGCACTGTAGTGGCTATGACGCTGTCTTATTTTTTATTTTATTTTCTGAAGGAAGGGTTGCCCCAAACCATTTAGGGTCAGTTTGGCAAACACCATGTCTGCCTCCTCTCTAGCTGACTTGATAATTGAGAATTTACACTTCTGCCTCCAAACTAGATCACAATGAGGAGACTGTCACTTTAGGCCAGGGATAGGCAACCTTCGGCTCTCCAGATGTTGTGAACTACATCCCCCATAATGATGGCAAAGCATCATGAGAGTTGTAGTCCAAAACATCTGGAGTGCTGAAGGGTGCTTATCCCTGCTTTAGGCTATCAGTGCATCAGATCAGCAATGATGCCTCTCATTGGCTTTCACCAAATTTTTAAATAAAAAATAAAATAAAACATCTCAGTTTCTAAGGTTCGCTACCTCAAGCCCATTTCTTCTTCTTTTTTTTTATTTTTATTTTTTATTTATAACTCCTGAATAACTTTTTTTCCCACAAGGAGAAAACCCTATATGAATAATATGTAACCATGACTGTTTGATACAATGATAATATATAAAATATGTTACAGCTGACAAACAGAACACAGGGATGTGGAATATGGGAAGACAATCTATTTGTCTGTCGCTAATTCCAGCTTTGTATGAACTGCAGTTTTTTACTGGGTACAAAGTATGGGTTCATAAACTATAAAAGCCACATATACGGGGCAATTATAGAGCTGTAATCAAACCATTAATTTAACGAGCTCCTGTAGTAATCCTATGGCTGTCACCACTGCTGTTACCTCTGGTTGAATCCGAGACTCGTCATTCGACTGAAGTTGATATTAAAAGCTCTGACTCTGTAGTGAGATTATAGGTTATCTGGCAAACGCACATTTCTTTATAATGTAATCAAACAGAACATGAGGTCAAATAGAATATTTACAGTTTGCATATTAATAGCAGACAAACCATTACTGACTTTTCAGACTTTTTTTTTATTTTTTTATTTTTTTGAGACATTGGAGAAAAATATAAGTGAGAATAAATTATGTTAAATCTTCGTGTAGCCGATAAAATAAAGAGTAATGGACTCCATAATTCCCAGATATTAGGCGTAAGGGTTAATAGAATATATATTTTTTTGCACTGTTTCACACTTGCCAGTATGATTCAGAGCGCCTCGTGCACCACTTTGGCACCTGAACATTTATGGGTTTATTCTAAAGTGAAAATTCAAAATGAATTTCAAGCTTAAGGCCAAAATAGTCGAAACTGAAAGCATAGTTAACATGGAGAATGATTCCAGTTTGGCTATTTTGGCCTTAAATTTGAAGTGCACTTGGAATTCTCACTTAAGTAAATAACCCTGATGATTTTTTATTTTATTGCTCTCAATGTTTTATGGTAAGCTGAAGTGTTTGAAATATACAAGGTCATTTCCCCTACAGAAGCAGAATGCTGGGGCATTTCATACCCCCCAAATGCAGATGCTTCTAAAAGTACAGAGGGTCTACTTGCATATTTCTCCCATAATCTGTGTACATTTTGTAACCTGTAATCGGAGACTAGTGTATGTGCTGAATCAAATCTAGCCATTAGGTGGTAACAACACCAAGTGGTGGGGCAACTATAATTGACAATAGAATAGTCAGACTTTGTCCTTCGTAATTTTAATTAGTCATAAAAATGTTGTAATCTCTTTAGATTATGCTCTGTGAAATTGACGACTGCTTGTAAAGTTTAAACCTGCAGTACTAGCTACTTGGCAGTTTGAAGGGGGACAAGTATTTTCGTGTTTCCTGTCATTGAAGTGCGCTCACATGAGGCATGACCGTAAACATTGCTCAATAAAATCACTCTTTAAACTGACAACATACTATGGGAAATGGGAGGAAAAATAAGAAAAGCATATCCTCACAGAGATGAATTGAATCAATGAATCTCTATGAGGAAAGTTCAGTGTCTGCATGCAGAGGGAGGAGATACTGAATGTTTTGATGCATTTTAGGCAGCCATGACCAAGGAAGGATCTCTAACAGCCATCTGAGGAGTGGCCAGTGAAGTTATCACTAGGCTGTAATGTAAACACTGCATTTTCTCTGAAAAGACAGTGTTTACAGCAAAAAGCCTGAAGGTAATGATTCTACTCACCAGAACAAATTCAATAAGCTGTAGTTGTTCTGGTGACTATAGTGTCCCTTTAACCCTCTCTAATATAGCCACACGCAGAAAATGGTTTGTCTGGTCCAAGTGACCTCCACGTTTTATAACCTATATACAGGGTTATTACCTAAGGCCAGAGAAGCCGAACGGAAAGCATAGATCCGTTACAGAATATTTCCAATTTATCTATTTTTGACCTTAAATTGAAATTCTCATTGAATTGTCACTTTAATAATTACCCTGATGTCGACAGTTAAGCTAGTAATAACAAAATATGTCCGGCAGACTGTAAGTCGCTCTGTTTTCTCGTTCTTTGTGTCTCCTTTGGTCACTGCTGTTTATTTTCTTCAGTAGTCTTTTGAACGGTCCCAAAATAGAGAATGTTGAACAAACCTATTGAAAAGGTGCTCCTAAGACGACCCATTGTTCTATGTAAATGTATATTTGAAACCCGTGACCAGCCCTCCTTGTGTAACAGGGTAACAGAACTGCATGAATGTCTGGTGGAGAGTTCTGTGAATATGGGGTTGTGTACAGTTCGTAACTGTTCTGTGTTATCGATGTAACAATTCTCTTCTTATTCGTTTCCAGCTAATACGCATTGTCACGCTGATCACATCACGGGGACCGGGGTTCTGAAGAAGCTGCTCCCAGGGAGTAAAAGCGTTATTTCCAAGGACAGCGGGGCTAAAGCGGACATCCACATACAGGCGGGTGACGAAATCAAGTTTGGGAATTTTGTAAGTATTCGCCCCCTATGTGTGCCACTTTCTTCTAGGAAAGATTTGATTGTAGTTCTTTTAGTTTCCGTCTCGTACCTATAATACAAAACTGTGAAAACTGTGCCATCAGCTGATTACAACTCCCATGAACATATGCTACCCAACTGCTTTGGTTTTTGGATGGTTCCCCAGCTGTTCGCTGACTAAAACTCCCATGAGCCTTTGCTAACCATTCGTTATGTTTGTGACTAAAAGATTTATGGGTGTTTAGTCTGCTATAGCTTTGCTGTCATGTAAGGCATCTTCTCTGGACACTAAGTGTTTTGCTTGTCAGCATGACACAGCTTTAAGTGAGCAGACTGGCTTAACGTGTCCCATCCGCCTTTACGCTATATACAAGAAGAAGCTTCAGGCACTTAATACAAAGCAGTTTGTATTGGATTAAAATGCAACCTAAACAGTGGTCTTTGTCAAGCCTGTACTTTATAATGCTACAGAAGTAGCTGATGATTACTTATAAGTTAGAGCAGAGCTTGTCAACCCACCCATTCATGCTCTTCTTGAACAATTCTCAACCTTAGCCAGCCTTTGCATTTCAAACTGACACACTGCATGACATGTCTTTCCTAATTTATCAGTCTGTCTGACTGGGAGTCATGGTCTTTGAAGTCCAACAATATCTTTATAGTATAATACTTCCTCCAGGTTTATCAGAGGGATGTCGCGCATACATTGGACTGCTACTGGGGCAACTGCAAATCAGCCCACTAGCATAAAGGGGTTATGGGCTGCAGTCTCATAGTAACATTTGTGTGCTGATCAAAAGCAGCTGGCGGTGTATTGGATGTCTGCTGACCGTTTTCTGCAAAAATGATTGTGCTGGGGCTGGGTGATTACAATCTTGCTGCTCTCCAGCCTTAGACTGACCCATATTTTCTTGGGCGTAGTGGGGGGGGGGGAATGAGATTATTCATATATATTATATTATACCCCCCAAAAAAATCTATTAATATACAAACCATTTACAAACCTGTATTCCACTTGGGAGTCCCTCCTATTATTATTCTGAATGAAGCCCAGAGCAATTCTAGAATTAGCCCGAATGAAACATTTTAATCACAAGTGGTCAGCAAGTTGAAAATCAATGTAAATTAACAAATAATAGAACTAAGATCCCTGGACCGCCTTTTTTTCTTAGGGGCTATATGATTTATTTTCTGTTGAGCATATTACAAGTTACAAGCTTATCAAGTACATCACAATAGAGCATCGATTTTTCAAATAGCCAATATCCAAATGGTATGTAAACAATATCTGTAAGACATTGCTTTGAACAGAGAGTGAAGAAGGAATAAAAGTTAAAAGAGGAATCTCTGCTCAGGATAGGTGGAAAGAAGTATAATAGTTATCTAATGCTCTTGTCATTATTGAAACTGACATATTAAATTGACAGGAGAATTAAAGTCCTAAATATCTAAACAATGCCCTGCCTTTTCTCTCTCAGGCTTTGGAAGCACGATCCACCCCTGGGCACACAGACGGCTGCCTCACATACGTGTTGAATGATAAGAGTATGGCTTTCACCGGAGACGCGCTCCTGATTAGAGGCTGCGGACGCACCGATTTCCAGCAAGGTATGTACTAAACACACAGGTACAAGACATATTCAGGAACACGGTCCGTTATTTAGAGTACATTGCTTTGGGATGTACTGTTACTGAGCCTCCTGTATTTTATTGTAAGTGTTATGTTTGCAGGTGTGTGGATTGACATGACAGATCTCACCTTTCAGTGGAGATAGTTATAAAAAGTGTATTGTACACAGCTGACCGCGTGTGTGTCTCTATGGGGTATTTACGGTGCTTAGAGCTCCGTGGACTGCTATTTTAAATGGAGCTTTGTGAGATACTTGTACACAGCACACATTACTGTTGAGTCTTATTGCAGTGGAGCTCTATCGAACACTCATAAGAAATTTCTGTAAAAAAATTGTTTTGCAGTGGAGCTCTGTGAAACACTCACACTGCACCTTACTTTGGAGTTTTATAGCAGCGGAGCTCTTTATCACACTCATACACACTGTACATTGCTGTGAGTTTTATAGCGGCGGAGCTCTGTATCACACTCACACTGTACATTGCTGTGAGTTTTATAGCGGCGGAGCTCTGTATTACACTCACACACACTATACATTGTTGTGAGTTTTATAGCGGCGGAGCTCTGTATCACACTCATACACACTACATTGTTGTGAGTTTTATAGCGGCGGAGCTCTGTATCACACTCATACACACTATACATTGCTGTGAGTTTTATAGCGGCGGAGCTCTGTATCACACTCACACACACTGTACATTGCTGTGAGTTTTATAGCGGCGGAGCTCTGTATCACACTCATACACACCATACATTGCTGTGATTTTTGTAGCGGCGGAGCTCTGTATCACACTCACACACACTATACACTGCTGTGAGTTTTATAGCGGCGGAGCTCTGTATCACACTCACACACACTATACATTGCTGTGAGTTTTATAGCGGCGGAGCTCTGTATTACACTCACACACACTATACATTGCTGTGAGTTTTATAGCGGCGGAGCTCTGTATCACACTCATACACACTACATTGTTGTGAGTTTTATAGCGGTGGAGCTCTGTATCACACTCATACACACTACATTGCTGTGAGTTTTATAGCGGCGGAGCTCTGTATCACACTCATACACACTATACATTGTTGTGAGTTTTATAGTGGCGGAGCTCTGTATCACACTCATACACACTATACATTGTTGTGAGTTTTATAGCGGCGGAGCTCTGTATCACACTCACACACACACTATACATTGTTGTGAGTTTTATAGCGGCGGAGCTCTGTATCACACTCACACACACTATACATTGCTGTGAGTTTTATAGCGGCGGAGCTCTGTATCACACTCATACACACTATACATTGTTGTGAGTTTTATAGCGGCGGAGCTCTGTATCACACTCATACACACTACATTGTTGTGAGTTTTATAGCGGCGGAGCTCTGTATCACACTCATACACACTACATTGTTGTGAGTTTTATAGCGGCGGAGCTCTGTATCACACTCACACACACTATACATTGCTGTGAGTTTTATAGCGGCGGAGCTCTGTATCACACTCACACTATACATTGCTGTGAGTTTTATAGCGGCGGAGCTCTGTATCACACTCACACACACTATACATTGCTGTGAGTTTTATAGCGGCGGAGCTCTGTATCACACTCACACTATACATTGCTGTGAGTTTTATAGCGGCGGAGCTCTGTATTACACTCATACACACCATACATTGCTGTGAGTTTTATAGCGGCAGAGCTCTGTATCACACTCATACACACTATACATTGCTGTGAGTTTTATAGCGGCGGAGCTATATTACTCCTACACATTTGCTATAATTGAAATGCCTATAAAGCACTGTGACTTATTTAAGCACAATGTGACTGTGGTTAACAAGTGTCCCTGTCTGTTTGCAGGCTGCCCCAGTAAGCTGTACCATTCTGTGCACACCCAAATCTTCTCCCTGCCTAGCGAGTGCCTCCTCTACCCTGCTCACGACTATACAGGTCAGTATGGGATACCCTGTTGGTGCCTACACTAGTTAGTATATTATTAAAGTACACAGAATTTCCTCTATTTGTTTTGCCTGTTTAAATATATAGTTCAATACTGTTGCAGCAAGTGACTATCTATGGAGCTTTGCCAACTCCACGTAATGCAGCCACACTCCTCAACTCTAAGGATAAACCTGCACTCCAATCTTATATGGCTGCAGGGATGGACTGTCCAATATACACACATACAAGTATAAATAGCTGCTTTTTCACTAAACACGGAATATTGGAGAACTGATAATGGAACTAAAATTTTAGGCCACAATAAATGGGCTAAAAAATATCTGAGTTGTAAAATCGTTCTAATTTGGCCCACAATGTGCATTTTTTTTTTTTTTCGTTTTACTGAAGTTTACTGAATAACTCGTGTGTGTGTGTGTGTGTGTGTGTGTGTGTGTGTGTATTATGTATATAGTGTAAAGGGAATGTGTAGGAAAGCATGTTTGGCTGTGTGTATTGTGAGTGTAGGTACTTGTTTATGCAGGAATTGACACATTTGTTTGGAGTCTATGAGCCAGTTTTTTAAAATTAAAAATGTTTAACTTTCAATGTGAAAAATGCAATTCTTAAAGGAACACTATAGCCACTATGCTTTATGTTCTGGTGTCTATAGCCTGTCCCTGCAGGCTTTTCAATGTAAAAAAGGGCAGTGTTTACATTGCTGCTTAGTGACAGTCACTCAGACGACCACTAGAGGGTGCTGGGTCACTGCTGCACGGTGTGTATCACCCATGTTCAGCGTCTACAAGCTCTGAATGCATTGATAGAAATGCATTGACTCAGTGCAACTCTATGAGGAGATACTGATTGGCACAGTGCAGTGTTTTGTACCTTTTTTTTTTTTTTAACCTTTAAAAAAAAAAAAAAAAAAAATGTAATTTCTGGTTTCTCCATGGCAACCTCTAACTGCAAGCCACATTTTTTTTCCTTTCACCATATAACAGTAATAGCTTGATTTGTATGTGCTGCCCATTAATATGGATGTGTGTCCAGGAAACATAGATTTGTTTTTGGAATCTGCCCAACCTCTCTGGTTTTTATTCCCTCTAATGCTTTTCCTTTTCTCTTCTTTCTCTCCGCATTCCTGTTTTTGTGTCTGTCTACTACACCTCCATACCACCGTCTTTCTTCCCCATACCTTGTGTAGCATGGCCAAGCTGCAACTAGCGCAAGAGTGGCGAGAAGATTGATCCCCAAGCATATTTTTGTATAGGGGTGTATCTGTATGTACTGTTGCCATTGGAATGCAGTGGTGTACTTGTGTGTAGTGTTTGCGTTTGTAAGTAGTTTTAGCTTTTAAATGCAGATGTGCTTTTGTGTGTAGAGTTGGTGTTTTGTATATAATTTTAGTGTTTTAATACTGGGGTGTGTTAGTATGTAATGTTTGCATTTGCGTGTAGGGGTGCGTTTGTATGGAGTTGGGGGTTTGTATGTAATGTTTTACATGTTGTGTTGATGTTTGTTTGCTGTGATGTATCTACATACATGCATAGATACACACACACACACACACACACACACACTCACACCTAGATAGAAACATATAAAAACACGGACACATACACACAAATGGACACAAAGATCTACACACACTGGCACATACACTCAGATATACATACTGGCACACAGATATACTGGCACGCCGATATACTACTACATACACACACTGGAATGTACACATGTCAGTAATTTGTATATTTGCAGCCACCCTTCTTTTAGCTTACCTTTTGTCTGCAGGAGGGTGACTTGCTTGGGGTGCTGTTGCCTGAGGATGACATGGGCTTTTCAACAACTCTTTCTCTCCCCCACCACCCCCTCCATACTGAAATGTTTATTATAAGCTAAAAACATAATTGGTCTCAATAATAATAATACTCCTACTTTAATTTGTTAAAAGTTGGCATTGTCAGTAGTTGCCGTTACTTGCTAGCACCCTCTAGCTGTAGAATTATATTTAAAACCTATTCATTAAAGGGACACTATAGTCACCCAGACCACCTCAGCTCAATGAAGTGGTCTGGATGCCAGGTCCCTCCAGGTTTTAACCCTTCATATGTAAACATAGGGTTAATCCAGCCTCTAGTGGCTGTCTTCTGGACAGCCACTAGAGGTGCATCTGCGACGCTGGAGGCGAATTTCGCCTCCATCGCGCAGAGCGTCCATAGGAAAGCATTGAAAAAATGCTTTCCTATGGGCAATTTGAATGTGCGCGCGGCACTTGCCGCGCATGCGCATTCGGCTCCACTGACGTCGGACGGGGAGGAGAGGTCACAAGCGCCGAGGGAGCCAGGTACTGGATTAAGGTAAGTGGCTGAAGGGGTTTTAACCCCTTCAGCACCATGGGAGGGGGACCCTGAGGGTGAGGTCACCCTCAGGGCACTATAGTGTCAGGAAAACCGCTTTGTTTTCCTGACACTATAGTGATCCTTTAACAATAATAAAGAGGATATTTAGAAACCATGATATAAATGTTACAATTACTCTGGTATTGGTAACATTGTTACACTAGACTAGTAATATGTTAATCGTATGAGGCCACAAACAAATTGTCTCAATTTAATAATAAAGTTCTGCAATATTAGTTAGAATATACTCTAATCGTATGTTATTCACATTCATGATTACTTTTACTTCCATTTGTCAATAGAAAATCTCAATTACTGTTACTCACTAGCGCCCTGTAGCCGTTGCACTATTATTGAAGCAGATATTCAGGAACAATAACGTTAAAGATGTTTCTGAACAGAAATAATAATGTTAGAACTGCTCTGGTGCAGGCAACATTGTTACAGCACACACAAAAAATAAATAAAATTAACCTTCGAAGTAGGGCACATCGAACTCCAAATGTAGACCAGCTTGTCTCCTTGCTCATAGATTTAAAATTAAAATAAAAAAATCAATTTATCCTCTTGGAAACCCAAATTCTATTCATGTCCCCACCTCACAGGAAAGCATTAAGCGGCTAGTACACATGCGCGTCAGAATGCAGCACTGTGCCATTCAGATTATCTCTCTTGGTTGCCTTCTGGTCAATCAAGGCTTCTAGGGCCAGATAATAAATGTTTATGCACTACATGTTCCTTAAAGTGGCACTGTCATGCCGAATTTATCTTTCTCCTATTGTTTCCTCTTCTCTCTCTGAATCTCCTTCTTTTTTAAAAAAAAATTTTTCTGATCTAATTTTCTTTAAAACATAAGACAAAGTAGGGACAAACAACCCTAAACTATTGACAGCGCAGTTTTGTCCTTTTGAGACTCGTCAGGATGATGCAGTTCAGGTACAGTGTTATGAATTGCTAAAAAAAAAAAAAGGTGATCCAAAATTTAGAACCATATAGCATGGTCTGTTAATGTGCAATCCGAATTCAAGGTTAATGTAAGAGGAATTTGAAATAAGGCATAATCTTAAAAGTGGAAAAATTGCCATGGAAACCAATGTAATACCTTTTTTTTTTTTTTTTATTCTTTATTTTTCTTGTGCATTTGGTTACATACATGCTTACAGATCCACGACAGCGACTGTAAGCTATTTCAAGACATATAGTGGCATATCTGAGTGGTTGCACATTTAATATTTGTGGAGTATAGTAGGCTAACAATCGTTAAGTTAACTACATGAAATAGGTACACATGTTGTAGCAGGATAATTATAAAAGCCGTACAGTGAACAATGTGTACTAAAAATACGCTCCTGACAATGGCTGTGGAGGGGCCTTATGATACCTGGCATGTGTCAATCTAGTTAGTGTTGTCTGCTCCGTTAGTGTGTGTGCTGTGGGTTTAATCCGCCTATGCTTTAATGAGTTGTTCTGGGAGGTGTTGGGCTGAGTAATGTAGTGTATCATTCTGCGGTGTTATCTTCCTTCTGTTATCGTCAGGTAGCAATATAGCTTGGGAGGTATCTAGGTACTGAGTGTATTGTAACCCTGTCTGTCTGCCATTTGGGGTGATGTGCCGCCTTGTTTCCGCTTAAGGCAGATGTGGGGGGGGGGTGAGGTAATTAACCTGGTGGGAAGCGCGTTTGTGTGTGTCTGACAGGTAGATAGCTAGTAACATTTACTGGTACATTAACAATTATAAACACAAAGATAGCAATATAAAGTAAAAGTTGGCTGGTAGGCAAAGTAGCAAAATTATTTGGAGAATCGCAAGGAGTTAGTTCCGTAGTGGTGAGATCATACAGTCCCAGCAAATATCTTGTTGGGATTTACAAACATGCCGTTGGATTTCTCATGTTGGGTTGTCAGCATGGGAGCCGTGTCTGCACCGTTGCGGAACGAAAGATTTCACCCTTTCCGGGTTCCACCTGTGTCGTAGTCTCGGAGGTTGTCGTGGGACGTATGGCATCTTGTGGTAGTCCCAGTATGGGTAGCAAGTCCTGTGCTCCCTGGAGGTCGTGAATCTCATGGGTGTTCCCGTCATGTGTCACCTGCAGGGAGCGGCTGAGGCGCCAACGGTATGTTATGCCTTGTTGCTGGAGTAGCGTTGTAAGTGGCTTAGGCTACCGTCTCCAGTCCAAGGTACTTCCGGACAAGTCCGTGAAGGAGAGGGACATGGCTTCGAAGGAGTACTGGGGTAGGTTTTTGACTGCTGCCATGGTTGCGGCTCTGTCTTCCTTGCACTGGAAGCGGAGTATGATGTCCCTTGAGGCCGCTGGTGGGGCTTTGGTTGGTTTGGGAACTCTGTGGACTCCATCCAGGCTTATTGCTTTGGCCTGCCGCGCATGCAGTGGTGCTGCCAGGAGCCTCTGCGCAAAATGCGGCAGTTCCTCTACCAGCATGTCGTCTGGTACTCCCCGTATCTTTATATTAGTTGCTCTACGTGTGTCCTCCAGTGCGGCGAACTGCCGCTCAAAAGCCTCCGTTTTAGCCTGCAGATCCCTGATCTCCAGTTGCATAGCGGCAATATGGGTAGCTGTGGTAGCGGAGGTATCCACCAGGGTACCCAGTCTCCCGGTCATTCCTTGGAGGCCCGCCATTTCTGCCTGGATCGTGGTCTGCAGGCTTGCTAGTAATGCCTTGAGCACCGCTGTAGTGACTGGTGCATTATCAGGGTCTGGTGGTGTGACTTTGGCTGCCGGTGGACTGGGAGAGTGATGGGTGTCCTCACCTTGGGAGAAGTCGTCCGACAGGTTGGAGTTAGTCTCTGGGTATTCGGCCATCTTGGGCCCAGCCGCTTTGTGGGCCTGACGCCACATGGCTCCGATATCGAGGCCAAGTCTGGGCTGGTCAGGCTTTTGCTTTTTGTTTTTCCATCCCATGTCGATTCCGCTGTTATTGCCTGGGATTTGTGGCTGTTTTGGTTGTTTTTTTTCCGTTTAGATTGGGTGTTTTTTAGCTTGAAATCACAGGAGCTACAGTGCCATGCGACTTCTCTGCTCTGCAGCTTGGCTCCGCCCCACAATGTAATACATTTTAACACTATCAGGTTTATTAGTGAAACTACTAATTTTTAGCGCTGCAGAGAAAACAGTGTATACATTACGGCCTAGGGATACTTCCACTGGCCACTCCTCAGATTGTTGCTATAGGTGCTTCCTGGGGCAGTACTGCATAGTGTGACTGTCATTCAGTGTCTACACCCTCCTCGTGATTCTGTGCATCTCTGTGAGGAGATGCTGATTGGCCAAGGCTGTGTATGGCTTGTGCTGGCTCTGCCCCTAATATGCCTCCTTGACAAGATCAGCCAATCCAATGCTTTCCTTCGGGAGCAGACTGGAGTAATGGTAAGATTTTACTATGGTTGGGGTGGGGGGGGGGGACAGGACTTGTTTTTAACACTATATAGTATTAGGAAAACATGTTCAGGAATATGTGTTTATTTAATTTTATGTTAATTGTGTGCCTGAAACATCTGCAATTATAAAATTGAAGTTGATTGTTTTCTGCATACACACCTTTACAGGTCAAACAGTGACAACTGTGGAGGAGGAGAAAAAACACAACCCCAGACTGACCAAGAGTGAGGCAGAGTTTGTGAATATTATGAATAATCTGAATTTGAAGAAGCCTGCACAGATAGGTAAGGTTATATACTGCCCCCTACTGGACAGAAGTCACACCAACACCATATGTGTCATTAGAATTATAGGTTTCTTTGAACTGAAAATGAATATCAGAATTTCAATTGTGCATATTTTTGTGTTCCTCATGTAATGTGTGGGGGACCCAAAATTCACTTTGAATTTCCTGTGGTTGTCTGAAATTCCACTTGTTTTGTAGTTAATGCAGTTAGTTCTCAAACACAACAATACACACCGCACACAATTTCTGAGCATATTTCAAAAGCCCCTGCATAAATTGTATATAACATTAATGTATTATGAGGTTTTCTGTCAGTCTATCTAGTGGGCCTCTCTGTATGAATGGAACCCATGTAATATGTACTATGACCACAAGATGTCGCTCTATTACAATGTTATTTTGGCGGCTACTTTGTCACATTTCATTATGATGTGTGGGAATTAAAACAATTGAACGTTTTCAATAACCGAAATACTGGTGATTATATATAAAAAGCCTTTGTATTTCATGTTTTTCCTATGTGCACCTATTTTACTCCCTTACTTGCACCAAAATATCAAAATATTCCTTACAGCGCAAATTCTGGTACTTTAATTTTCGGTTCCGTTTTGTTTTTTCACAAATGAGTCATTCCCAATGTGTAAAATAAAGTGCAAGAATGCTTTTTAAAATGTATTTATTTTTTCCCCAAAAAAAATTTCTGCCCTGCCAGAGTGGTGACTTTTCTGAGATTAGTAAGGGACTTTCATTGTCTTTTCCTTAAAAAAATAAATAAATACACATTTTCTAAATTACAATTGTAATTGGCAGACTGAAGCATGTTTGTTTGGCGCATTACTTAAATCACCAGTTAAGAAAATGGTGCAAGTGCACAAAACTAGCGTGCCCACATGAAATGTAATGTGACAATGTTTATACATAACTCCCACTGTATCCATACATTATACCAACTAACCCACACGGCTTGTAAGTTTAAAAACAATTTATCGAGCTGCACCTTTTTTCTGCCTTACACACCTGTGGTAGGGATTCCCATCTGTTGATCTATAATTCTCATTATATTTACCATCTACAACTCCCATAGGGATAGCCCATAAACTGTGACATGATAAACGAGGGGTAATTAACGGTTTGTTTTAGATTTCATTATTTAATCTAAAAACTGGGGTTGGAAATAATTTACACACTAAACGCAGCAAGCGTGATGCCGATAACTTCCATTTGAATGAATACTATGGGGGAGAGATGTCTGTACACAATTCATTGTCTTCATTGTTGATGTTTATCATTTTCGTGGTTTATAATTCTGATTAAAAAAAAAAATAAACTTGTTTTGTGTGTTTTTTTTTTTTTTGCATTATTTATAGCAAGTATTTTTCTTTAACCAGATATTGCTGTGCCAGCCAACTTGAAATGTGGCATTCAGGACTAGTAATGACATCACTACTTCAAGGATGACCTCACTGAGATTCTGTCTGTTAAATTCATTACTTTGGCCTTCTTACGTATCTTGAAAATATGAAGCATTTGTAATTGTCTCTTTGATATAGATAGATATTTTTTAATTATTTTTTATATATATTCATGCATGTCTTGGGGTGGGGGAGATTTGGGACCACTCATTAATAAATCTGGAACTTAATGCACTTACAGTACAGTTCAGGAAAGTTGTATTTTAAATAGGTCATGATTACCTCATTACTGCTTTTGTTAAAGATTCACATTTTTCTAATAGTCCTTAACTTCTGTAACTGGGAGAACTGTAGCTATTGGGATACATTGATGTATATATGTTAAATTATTTTTACCAGTAAAATTACTGATTGAACAACTGTCTGACTTATCTATGTTTTTATTTTTGTGTGTGTGTGTGTGTGTGTGTGTGTGTGTGTGTATATGTATATATATATAATAGAGAGAGAGATGTATGTATCTGTATGTGAAACCAAGAAGGCTGCACGCAGGTGAACATGTATACTTATGAGGATGCTGCTGGGGCCAATTCATACAATATTCACTAAATAAATATATGTACCAGTGTGTGTGTATATATGTATGTATGTATGTATGTATATATATATATATATATATATATATATATATATATATATATATATATAATATTCCTCATTCTCAGGTCCTCTACCAGAGGCCTTGGTACCTGAGGGTTTTTTTTTCTCCGTATATTAGCTGTTACCAGAACTGCACTCTTCTGGACAGCGATCTCTGGTAACCACTAATATACTGAGCAGAACCCTCAGACTACTCTTGCCTTTCCTTTCCACATCCTTTCTTGTTCCGCTTAGTTCTTGGTATTTGTCCACCTTCTCCTGTACCTGTATCCACTCTTCATTATGATATGATGCAGAACAGCACTGGGGTTAGCACATAACCTTAGTATATGCCACATTTGATGTTTACTTGTGTTATTGTCCTGGAATTGGCTTCTAGCATTGTTTTTCACTTGTTCATGAAGGCTATTTGTGTTTTGCTGACCTCGTACAAAGCCAAGCATTCCAGTATCCATGTTGGTGGCATTATGTCATAGGCTTTCTTGGAGTCAATACAGGTTGTACACATATTGGTCTGTCTGGTCTTCGAATCGTGTGACTGCTTGGTCTACCAACAGCTGGTGTTTTAATCCTCTGGTGGTTCCAATCCCCTCCTGAGCATTGCTCATGTACTGACTCACAGGCCCATCGATCTTGGAGGCTATGATGCCTGACCGAACCTCCCATGTTTTGGGAAGGCAGTTTATTAGTCGGAGGATTTGACTGTGGTGTTCCCTTGTGTGGGTCCTTCATGACCAGTATTGTTACGCCTTGTGTTAGTCAGTCAGATTGGGAGCCTGTTGCTAGTAACTGGTACATTCAGTATTTCTTTGTCCAGCAGGTGTGGATCCTTTCTGGTCCGAGTGATGACCATGTGTGCTACTTGTTGTATATCTCCCACTGTGATGGGGACTGGTTCCTGTTCAGGAAACATGCATTTTCAGGTCTAGTTGCTTTGGGCTTTGATTGCTTCACCACTGTATAAAGGGTGTAGTGACCGCTGTATGACCCCCACTATAGAGATCCCCCCAACAATTTATCATTTTTTTTTATTTTTTGTGTTTTTTTTTTTTAACAAGACTGTGTGGAAGCTGTATAGCTGCAGAAGGAATATTTTGGTGCCCAACAGAAATTGGCCTAAAATTTAGCAAAACGCGTACAATGGTGTCGATTTCAACATTTTATTTTATTTTTCAGACCTCATAAAACATGTTAATAATAGGCAATAAGAAAGCATAATAATAAAAATATTGGAACATGTTTTTGTTTATTTTCACGCAACCAGGTAATTTGTAGAATAATCTTTAAACTTTAACCTTGAAAACTTCCAAAATAAAATCACACCAGTGAAAAATTAACTTGTGATTAAGCACATCTGTTAGCATAAAAAGCAATGTGTTTTTTTGTTTTTGTTTTTTTTAGACCCCTCTGCTGCCTTGAAAATGATACACTAAGCATCAAAACAACGTTAGCTTAATGAAGAACTTTTTTTAAAGGGACACTACAGGCCCATAAAGCACTTTAGGTTGCTGCGAAGCTTTGTGTGAAGGGGATGTTCTCCATTTATTTATTTTCATTTTGGAAAGAGCAGATTTCAATAGAAATTGACACTTTTATAAATTATACTGGTTACACACTTTTTAAGCAGACAATGGGTCTTGTCACTTACTGGTTTGGTAAACATATTTGCACTGAACTCAATACGCAGCAATTGTCCAGAGCACCTTCCTTGCAAAAAGTTCTCAATGAGCAGCATTGGAAAGTCGGTGATTGGACAGCCACAAAAAGTCTGGGCGGAGTTAGAAGAGGAGGGCTTGCAAAGGCAGCAGAGAAGAGAACTGATGGTTTTTTGCAAGCTGTTTTTATATATACCCCCAAGGAGAAAAAGGTATCATTAAATGCAGGTTTTCATTGGGGGTACATCTACTAAACAGTGATTTCAATTTATTTTGTATTTGAGCGGTGGAGTGTCCCTTTTACAGTCTCACTGCTCAAATCTCTGCCATTTCTGAATAATTTTATTCAAATTTTTTGGGTGGTGTTTTACTGTACATCATGATAAAACATTGCCAGTGTACCAAGAAAAATGAAGATCAGATGTAGGTTAAACAATTGCAAGTCAGGTATTGGTTAGTTGAGGGGTGCCAGCACATTACTGCAATGATATGCAGGGTTGTCATTAAATAGTGTATCGTGAGCAGCAGATTAAAAGGTTAAATGACTTTAGATCCTGTTGATGCAGCCCTAGCCACACCTTCCCTGGCGGTGACTTGCAAAGTTGTTTAGGTGCTTAGAGATTCCCTTTAACATAAAAGCACATTACTACCTTTTTGCAATGCAGGTTTATTTTCACTCAATATCCAGGTGTGGATTAGTTTTTTTTATTTTATATTTTTTGATTTGTTCATGACCAGGCAAATAACACTGTGATGGCCTACAAATCACAAGAGGTACCGTGGCAAGGATACAGTCCAGTACCGAATAAGAGTTTTATAAATGTAACAATAAGAAGACGGGCAAACAGTGCTACAAGACCAAAATTAAAAAAGCCTTTTATCGGTGGCGGAGCCAGCTGCAGATCAGAGTGGACAAATCTTGTAGAGCTCTGAGCAAAGTCCTGCAATCTACCCAATAGATTACGGAATTTGGGCACTCACCCTGCTCAACACCCGACTACTACCCTGAGTAGACACCATGCGCCAGAAAACTAAAACTCACGGGCTGAAAAGGACCTAACCAGTCGCAACATAGGCGACCTGCGGAGCTCGCAGAGGGCCACATGGGAGAAGATGGCGCTGGGGGATGAAGGCACCTCTTACGCTTCTGAGGATGCCTCAATTAATCCCTTAGAAGAGGCATCGTCAGGCTTTCCACCCATGCACAAGAACAAGTCAACACCTGCTGGAGAGATAAGCTCGAGTTCTGGCCATTTGTATAACTGAACGCATGTGGTCCAGTGCATGGAAGCCATTTTGTCTCCCGAACACAAGCAGCGGTCCATGGTCGTCGAACAGCTGGAACTATTTTCGGCCATGCGAGTCCGCGAACCCAGGCAGAAATTGTACCGCTGCCCATTCAACTTCCCGACCATGTAAACAAACGACTTTCAGGAGATATGATCTACCAACTGGGGGAGCATTTGCTCCCTAAGATCCAGGGGGAGTGTTTGCACAGGAACCCCCGAAAGCCGACCGGCCATCCTGACCAATTCTCTGGAACTGTTTTGAGCTATCCCCTCATGGCCGGCCGGTCAAAACTCCGCAATTCCGTTCTACCAAACTGATCTGAGCTCTTTTTGAATATGTTGGGCGCTCACATCAGAGCTATTCGTGGATTTGATTTTTGTGGGGTTCCTGTACTGTTTTCATGTATTTGTGGGGTATTGTAGAAATATTGTAGTTTGTAGTTGCTGGGTTTGAGAGATAATTGAGTTATCCTAATTTGAGCTGAATTATCTCTCAAACACAAAGGCTCCTGGGAAGCTCCTGTGTAAATCCCATGATGCAAGTGCATAAAAGCCATGTGTGGCAGAATAAAGTTCAGTTGTACTCCCAGAACTGTGTGTCATCCAGTTACTGGGTAGGAGGTGGCTATTCACTTGGCAGTTTCTTGTTCCTGAGTTCCCGTATTCATGATCCAGCGAAGAAAGGATACGGGCAGGACTAGGGCTCCTCTGCAGTGGTTATGGTGCTTTGGGTGTCTATTTGAGTGTCCGAGCGCTGTATGGATTGTCAGAAATCAATGAAGCATGATTTTTATTTTTTTTTAGTGATTTTGGGGTGTGTGTGAACCCCAAACAGAAGGTATTAATCCATAAAATAATAATTTATCTGTTTGTGATTGTGGTTTGGCCCCAGGGCAATAATTAGTTTGAGCAAATAAACCTAATTAAGAGTTGAAAGTTCAAGAAATGATCCTGTCACAATAATTAATGACTCACATATCATTTTATGAAGCATTCCAGACGCTGGCCTGTTTTAATTAACCGATGTTGACAGGTAAAAATCAAAAAGCTTAATGTATAACAGTTGTGGTGGGTCCCACTTCAGCCACCACACCCTGGTCTATCCCCAAATCTTTCCACAAGTGTATAAGTCTTATAAAACAAGAAGATAAGATTTGTTTCTGTTGTGTGATTAAATCAGATTAAGTGGGCTATTTACTAAAGTGAGACTTGTTGGTAACTCAAAGTGAATTTCAAATTTAAGGCAAAAGTAGCTGATTTGGAAAAATTAGCCAACACTACTTATCTCCCAGTTTTGCTACTTTGGCCTTACATTTAAAAATGGCAGAAGAAAATTGCTAATGTGAAAAAGGGAAGTAAATTTGCAAATAAAAGGCTGTCAATGGTCTAAGAATCTTGCCCACAGTATCCAGAAAT